ATTAGAGAAATGCAAATCAAAACCAAAATGAGATATCATCTCACACCTATTAAGATAGCTAGTATCAATGACAACAAAACAGCCTAGAAAATTACAAAAGTTGGTGAGGATGTGAAGAAAATGGAACCCTTGTGCACCAGTAGTGGGATTGAGAAATGGTGCAGCCACTATGGAAAACATATGAGGTTCCTCAAATAATTAAAAATAGAATTATCATATGATCCAGCAACCCCATGTCTAGGTATATACCCAAAAGAACTGAAAACAGGATCTCAAAGAGATATTTGCACACCCATGTTCATTGAGCATTGTTTGCAGTAGCCAAAAGGTATGCTATGGTTTGAATGTTTGTGTCCCCTCCAAAATTCATGTTGAAATTTAATCCCCAATGCAACAGTATTAAGAGGTGGGGTCTTTAGGAGGTGATTAAAGCTCTACTCTCATGGATGGGATTAGCCACCTTATTAAAGGGCTGGACGCAAGTTGCTAGGTCTTTTTTTGCCCTCTGCTTTCTACCATGTGAGGACACAGAGGTTATCTCTGGAGGACAAAACAATAAGGCACCACCTTGGAAGAAGAAGAAGCAGCACTCATAAGACACTGAACCTGACCATGCCTTGATCTTAGGCTTCCCAGCCTTCAGAACTATGAAAAATAAATTTCTGTTCTTTAATTACCCAATCTTTTGTTATAGTGGTACAAATGGACTAAGGTAAAATGGAAGCAACCCAAATATCCATTCACAGATGAATGGATGAAGAAAATGTGGTATATACACACAATGGAATATTATTCAGCCTTAAAAAGGAGTGAAATTCTGATACATGCCACAACTTGGATGAACCTTGAAAACATTATGCTAAGTGAAATAAGCCAGACACAGAAGGACAAATATTGTATGATTCTGTTTATGAGAGGTACCTAAAATAGCCTGAGTCATAGAGATGGAAAGTAGAATGGTAATTGCCTCCAGATGGGGGAAGATGGGAATGGGGAGTGATTGTTTAATGGGCACAAAGTTTCAGTTTGGGATGATGAAAAAGTTCTGGAGATAGTGGTGACGGTTGCACAACATTGTGAATGTACTTAATGCCACTAAACTGTACACTTAAAATTGTAATGGTTTTTTTCCTTTTTTTAAATTAAAAGAGAACAAGAATGAATATAATGGTAAATTTTATGTTATGTGTATTTTACCACAACTTAAAAAGTCTTCCATGAGCAAAAAGGGGAAAAAAGGAAGAACGTATCAATATTAATTTCTTGATTTTGATCATTGTTTTGTGGTCTTAAAAAAATGTTCTCATTACATATAAATAAAAGAGGCATCATGTTTGCAACTAACTCAAATGGTTCTCACACACTTAAAATTATGTGTTTATATAGAGAAAGAAAAGAATGAAGCAAGTGTGGTAAGATGTTAACCTTTGGGGAATCTGGATAAAGGGCATACAGGGATTCTTTGTACTATTCTGGCAATTTCATGTAAGTCTGAGATTATATAAAAGCCAAAGAAAAAGGGAATTTTAAAAAGCAGGTTTCAAAACATTTTAAACATAATGAACCAATGAAGAAAATACATATGCCTAAAATCATATGAACCAAATGCTAACTGTGCTTATTCTGTGCTTATTACCATAGGGAGTGGAATTGGGGTTAATTTTTCATTATTTTCTTTACAATTTTTCTGTATTTCTCAACGTTATTTGTGATAAAAGTGTTTTGCTTTAAAGTTAGAACAGACAGTAATAGGTCCTCCTTTTTAAAACTACTATTAGGGACTTCTGATCAAGATGGCAGAGTAGATAGTCACCAGCATCACTCTCTCCCACAATCAACCAATTTACAACTATTGAAAAGCAAGGATTGCCAAGCTGGGGTCACTAGAGCTCAGGGGATGAGGAGGAGAGACATATGGAGTTCATGAAGGCAGGAGAAGCCACAATGAGAGAAAGAAGGGATCACCTTGACGATTTCAAGCCCCAACCACTTCAAAGCTAACCCTGCTGAGCACACAGAGCAAGAGCTGGCAAAAGCTGCTGCCGTATCCTTTGTATGAAGTTGCTTGGAGGCTGCAAGGGAGAAGAGGGCCTTGGTGGCCCCCAGGCCATCAAGACCACAAACAGTGTTCCCATGGACCCACATAGGAGCAAGGAGCCACAGACCACTGAATAAAGAAGCCACTCAGAGACCTGTGAATCGTCACAAGGGACTGGAACATGGCCGTCCCATGGGAAGCGTTTGGAGTGCAGGGGATGAGGGGAGACTTGCTCACCAGGGGAACACTGGGGCACAGCATGGACAGCTAATCTGCCCTCCAATCAGCACAGGCCCACTCAGTGGAGACTGGTCGGGAATATAGAACTTCAGGGGGTGCAGTTTGCTGAAAAGACTCAGGCCTAGACTGAAGTTTCCACGTAAGCCAGGTGGACTGGACCTCACAAGACCTGGAATTGTTTACAAGGTCAAAAATTAATACCGTAATTTTTTTTTCTATTAGTACCTTTCCCTCCTTGACTTCTTCCCTCATTCTGCCTTTAGTCACTCCATTCTGATTTCCCTATAGCACCAAACTTACACTCAAGAACCTAGTAAAGTTCAAGGTTCTCTTTAATCTTGGGAATTATTGCTCTGGGCACAATTGTGCTGTAAACTTACACTCAAGAACCTAGTAAAGTTCAAGGTCCTCTTTAATCCTGGGAATTAGTGCTCTGGGCACAATTGTGCTGTAGAAAGAGATTGCTCTTGGTGTTTTCCTTCACCCAGCCTTTCTTGTGTATGGCCCCAGGTGCAGTAGACTGCTTTCCTGGGATGCTGGCTTCAGGATGATGCAGATACTAGACATGGCGGGAGACAGACAAAGCCTGTGGCCCTGATGATATTGTTGGGTTGCTGAATCAACCATCCCTAAATCATGTGCTGTCTCAGGACTCCCTGTCATGTGAGCTAATAGATTTCCAAATTGCTTGTCCATTTGATGTGGAGTTGCTGCTACTTTCAGTCTAAAGCATCCTGACTGATTTAGGTACATTTTGGCTGTGGGACGTGCTGTCTCAGGACTCCCTGTCATGTGAGCTAATAGATTTCCAAATTGCTTGTCCATTTGATGTCGAGTTGCTGCTACTTTCAGTCTAAAGCATCCTGACTGATTTAGGTACATTTTGGCTGTGGGATTAGGGAGAACTTTGATCTGGCTTTGAAAGAGGAGCAATTCACCAGGGAGAAGGTGGGGAAGAGTAATGTAGGTGAAGAAGAGACATGAGCAAGGGCAAAGAGATGTGGGAGTGACTGAGGTCATGTTACAGGAGATGAAGTGGACAGTCTGGGAGGGACCAGGTTCTCAAAGGAATTAGAATTTTTTCTTATGGGGCAGTGGAGGAATATCAGAGGTTTTTAATCAGGGAAATAACATGATCAGATTAGTCTCTAAGCACATAGATAGTTATTCCTGTTTCTAAAATTCTAGTAATGAGAGCACAAGTAAGATTGGACAAGAGGTAGGAGAAACAAGAAGTGGGACAAGAGCCAATACAAGTGAATGTAGTGTCTCACTTCCCCATAAGCTTATACGTAGTATACTCACACACACAGGCATATATATTATATACGTATATGGTTATACATATATACACACATATGTATAAGGTAATATGTATATTTACATATTTAAGCATATATAACTGTGGATGTGTAACTGTGTGTATATAGAGAGAATGAATGTGGCTTTGGCTTACCCAGTACATTTAATTCAATTCCTGGTTGGTTGCTTGCAATGACCTCGCAGTAAGAATCTGAAAGCTAGTTCTGTCATTACTTTGACAGGAAACTTACTGATTCTACAATGGAAAATCAATGATCTCTGAGCTGTGATGCTGGATTCTGATGCCACCTCTATTATTAACTGTGTGACATTAGACTAGGACCTCAGTTTACTTTACAAAAAATGAAGTATCTAGGTTAGATGATCTCCAGGTCTAAAATATGTTAAACATCTTATCATCTTATGATTCCATTGTTTTATAGTGGCCTCTCTCTCTCTCTCTCTTTCCCCCTCCCTCTCCCTCCTCTCTTTCTGTCTACCCCTTCCTCTCCTTTCTTCCACCCTCGCCCCCTCCCATTCTTTACTTTTTCTTTTATTGTTCAATTAGGGATCTCTCTGAGACTCTGAACAGTCACCTCAGAAAGATTCACATATGCTCTATATCAGCTAGAAATGTGTGTTGAACTGCAGATTAAAGAACACCCAGTGATGGTGGCTTAAACAAATATGGGTCTGTTTTATTGCCATTACAAGAAGTCTGAAGGTAAAAGGTTGCTGGAGTTGGTTCAGGGCTCGGCCATGTCAAGACCAGCATCTCTGAAATTATCCTAGCCTCTCCCTTAACACTTGTCACTTCTTGGTATAAGTTGACTTAAATAAGAGGGAATTGTGGCACCAGGGGCATCTGCTGTATTTTATTAGAAAGGCAAAATTTTTCCAGAACCATTTCTTCTGCCTCCATTTCAACATTCCCACACTTACGTTTCAATGGCCAGAAGAGTGTCATGTGGTCATCTCAGAGATAAGGGAGTCTGACAGAGATTTGTGAACTCAACTTTTGCATGCAGTTTTAGGGGACTCAAATATCTTCTGAAGTCCATTATGGTACCCAGAATTCCTGATTCAAAAAGTGGCTCACACGATCTGAACCTTGGCTTTCAGATCCTCACTCCTTAGAGGAAAACTGAAATCTGAACAGATTTCTAATAATCTGGTTTGAAGCAGCCAGTTGTTTAAAGGCCAGAGAATCAAATGAGATAAAGTAATATGACAGTGTTTTGCAAACTGTAAGGTTTTGCATAATGTGGAGGTGTATTTCTGCTGTGAGAATTTTCTTTGTTACCTATGGATCACACATTTTGGTTGCCACTTGTGTTGTGTGTATGTGTAAACAAAATAATAAAATAAAGGTAGGAACAACAACAACAACAAAAACCCCCAAAAAACACATAAGCAAACCAGTGCCAGGAACACACAAAATATTTTATTAGTTTCCAGACTGAGAAATGATGTAGGAGAACATATTTTAATAGAAATCCATGACTCTCCTCAAAGAGCCCACCCTGGCGTTCGTGGCCCCCCAGTCGTGGTAGCGCCTGTAGTCCCCCGGCCTCAGCAGGTACTGTCGCCCCCGGTAGTTGGGCATCTCATAGAGGACCCAGGAGCCCTCCAGCACATTGAGAGAGTGGATCTCGTTGAAGTGGAAGCGGTCCTGCAGGGAGGAGCAGTCCTCAGTGACCTCTAGCATCTGGCCTCGGTAGTCCTCCCGCTCGTAGAGTCTGATCCTGTGGGAGCCAGCCTGGCAGACCCAGAGACAGAAAGATAAGAGCAACCGTGAAATGATTCTGACCCATAAGTGCAGTTCAGCTTGGTGAGAACCAGCCCACACCATTCTGAAATAAATGGTAAAAATTAATGAATTCTTAATGTTTACTAACTCCCTGTCACCAAGGACAGAGATTCAGTACCTTTTCAAGATCATAAAGTGTAGCTGAAAGAATTGAGGAAATCTCACTCTTTATACATATTCAGCGATTTCCTGGGATGACTATGCTAAGTACCCAAACAGTAAAGAAACCCACACCTTGAGCAGTTTATTACTATTTTTTTGCCATGTTGAAGAAATGCTTTTATATTGAAATAATTATATTAAATGTATTAAAATATAAATAAAATATATTTAAAATATAAGTGTTTAAATATATTATATATAAAAATATAAAATATTAAACATCTTAAGCCTCAGACAACAATGAACTCTAAGTCAATAATCTATGAATAGAATAAGGAAAAAAGGGAAAGAAAAATCAGTAAATCCAAGGACTAATTCTTCATCAACTCTGGTGTTTTAAAACATGTATAAGAAACATAGGAAGCACATGTGTAAAATAGCTTTATGTTGCTCTCCACTGAGGGAAAATTCTTTTATTTGTATAGGTTGGGGAAAACCAAAATATACAAGTGGGGAGCAAAACGGGAAAAGAGTCTTTTAAAAAAAATTACACTGCATGCTAATAACTACCATATCATCTAACACTTAATTATTCTTTTAGGTACTAGTGGTTTGTCTACAACTCCATTCTAAATGATACCAGGGCAGGACTTCAGTCTTATACACCCCCCCAGGGCAGCCAACACATTCCTACTCAATAACTATTTGCTGATTAATTGGTATCCGGGTAACACTTTGCTTTTGTGGGGAGCAAACTCTATGGAACTAATCCACTATAGCTTGTCTTTTGTCCAAAACACTCTCAGTTTATTCTGAGTGATCACTACTCCAGATGTTTGACCTTTGCTTGCAACTATCCAGTCAGCGTCCTCAGGGCCTCTGTCCTGCTATGGAGCTGGACTCACGTGGGGGATGAGGCGGCAGGAGCGGACGGCGTCGCTGAGGCCCATCCACTGAGTTAGAGCCAGAAGGAAGGAGGCTGCCATCCCCTCCCGTCGCCTGCGGTGCGACTGACACATCTGGATCACTGACGCGACGCGGGGCGCAGAGGGGACGCGCGGGGCTGGACTCACGTGGGGGATGAGGCGGCAGGAGCGGACGGCGTCGCTGAGGCCCATCCACTGCTGGTAGTCGGGGTACTCGCCGCGCCGCAGGAAGTACTGGCCGCCCGAGTAGTTGGGCTGCTCGTAGAGCATCCAGCAGCCGCTGTCCACGCGCACCGAGTTGCAGCGGCTGAAGTAGGGCTGCAGGTTGGAGTGGTCGCTGCTGCACTCGTAGTGGCGGCCCTGGAAGCCCCGGTCCTCGTAGAAGGTGATCTGCAAAGCAAGGCGAGGCGAGGGCTCAAAGGCCTGCCCGGGTCTCCGGCCCCCGAGAGCCAGGGACCGTCCCCGGGCCCCGCGCGCTGGCGGCGCTCACCTTCCCCATGGCTGGTGGACGCGGACGGTGCGAGTCGAGGGTGACGGGGCCGGCGGCGCAGCGGGTCTATATAGCAGGACGGCTGCTGCGTTGGCAGGAACCACACAAAAGGGGCCCGCGGGGGGCAGCGGGGGCGTTTTTGTGTTCTCTTTTTTCTCTTTGCTGTCATAGTCCACGGGGCTCATTGTGGGTTTTCGTCCCATTCTCTGTGGAGTATTCGGGTTCCTATCACTGGCTGATGCTATTGAGACTGTTTGAAAAAAGTAATTTGGGACATTGTCTATTTAATAATAGAAGTAGAGCTTCAGCCGTTTCATATATAGTGCACACTTTTATTTGTAATGGTTGAGGGAAAAACAAGAAAAAGTAAGTGGGGGAGATAAAAAAAGTCTTAATAAGGTAAATATAAATTAATCTGTAAGAACTACCATGCTACTTATGTGCCACAATATTGAATCTGATTATTAACAGAAAGGAAATGGCTTAAATGGATGTTAAAATTGTTGAGACAGTCCTTTAAGGGAACTTCATCATTAAAGGGTGTAAGAAATTGGAATGTTTTACCAAGGGAGTTCACAGAATTTCGAACTTTCAGTATGGTAAAAAACCAAAAAACAAAACAAAGCAAAACAACAAACAGGGATCTTCAGCATTGGGTCTGATTTTGTTGCATTCAAGCCTGGAAGTAGACTGAGAATTAGATATTTTCTCTTAACTAACTGTGAGTCTGTGATTCAAGAGGGAGAGTAGTTTTAAGATGCTTAATCTCAGAAAGAAGGTCTAAAAGGGAGATGTGTAAGCTTGAGGCAATAAGAAAAAGTAATATATTTAAAACACAGAAACAGATTACCTCTTAGCATTTTGTAAAATAAAAAATCAAATTTCGGGCCGGCCCGTGGCTCACTCGGGAGAGTGCAGTGCTGATAACACCAAGGCCAGAGGTTCGGATCCCTTTATAGGGATGGCCGGTTATCTCACTTGGGAGAGCGTGGTGCTGACAACACCAAGTCAAAGATTAAGATCCCCTTACCGGTCATCCTTTAAAAAAAAAAAAAAAAAATTCCTAAGAAACCCATTTCTGGTAGGATCCAGAACCTTTGTTCTCTGGTGAACAGGAGTATATAAAGCCTTTGACTCAGAGGAAATTAATTGCATGAGCACAAAAAGGAGCTATGACCGGAAAGGTGTTGGGAGAGGAAGGAATAAATATCTAGAAGCTGGGACTCTAGGAAGACTTTAGAAAGTATTTATTGGCCTGGAAGAGAACAGTTTGATGGACTGGAAAAAGCACTGGGGTGGAAGATGACCTATCCGTCTAGCCTCTTTCATGTACAAAGAATTATTCACAGCCCTGTGTTGACCCATGGAAACACTTTGTCTTGTCTTTGAGTTATACATCTTTGTAAGTGGTACTCCTCTTTATGAATTAAGTATCAGCTATGTGCACTATGATGACTTTATTTTTTTTTTTCTATTATGATCTTAATTCTTATTTTCTGGCTTCCTGTTATCCACTACGTAAAGGCATGTGTTTGCAAAATTAGTTATATTTACATAGTGGAAAATAAACAGCCAGAATCTGTAGAATAAAAATCATTTTAACTAAAAATTTTATATAATAAAAATAATAAAAAATAAATTTAAAATAATCATTAGTTTGCTCAGAGTTGTTTCTGAGTCCAGGGTTCTGTGGAGAGAGTGTTGATGGATGAAGAGTAAAATATGAGGAATAACTAGAATGTAAAGAGTCCCAGACAGCATAAACAGACTAGTTTAGGAAGTATAGAACTAGAGAAAACCTCGAGGAGCATGGAGGCAGAGTTTGTGGGGACGACTGCCTCAGATGACATGCAGCTACAGCTGAAATTTAGAATACATCTGGAGGACCAAAAACAAGGGGTATTTGAAAAAAGTAATTTGTTTGAAAAATAACGTGGGACATTGTCTATTTAATAATAGAAGTAGAGCTTGGTTTTTCCATTGACCAGAAGAGAGAAGACTTTATTTCAGCCTGCAGCTAAAGAAACAGGGGGAAAAAAACCCAGATTTCTCATAGAGCTGAAAAACGAATGGCTTGGGCCAAAATGTGGCTTGATTTCAATGCTCTAAAGAAAGTTCTAAGAGTGACAAATGTGTGTAAGACCTAAGCCCCAAATTGTGGTGTGTTAGGTGAACATAAATTAAGACCTGAGAATCCTTACGCCTGTGGCACAGAAGCAGAAATCTACACAACTTGCCTGGAATGACTTATGGAAACTGTCTTTTGAGGGGAAACAAGAAATGAAGAACAGGCACTATTGTCCAGAGCTCTAGTCCAGCAAGTGACCCTTTGTCATCCCCTAAGTATTCAGGTGGTTTGAAACAAAAGTGATAGTAAAAGAGACTAGCTCAGGTTAAGGCTTTTCTACATGCAGGGTTAATCATTTGTATGGCTGGTGTAAATGACAGCCTTCAGAGTGAAGTGTGTAAGAAATATCACTTTCCCTATTTTCTAGACCCCCAACTATTTTATGAATCTAAGTCTCATTACTCTGGTATGGAGAGAAAATTTAATGTTAGTCCCTGTTGGGGTTTCCTTTCTTCATTTCGCCAGGCTCCATGGTAAAGTTCTGTGCACTTCCATCCTGCCAAGTCATTTCATGGGTGGGAGAGACGATGCACAGGGAATTACTGTGATGTTCATGGTCAGTGGCTCTCTCTCTGGCTTTCATTCTCATTTCAGGTTGGAAATGAGAATTGGCAACTTTGAGTTCTGTGGATCTGGAGATATGTTTTGTTGGCTGGTGCAGTGTTTACATGTTTTTTGTAATGCTTTGGGTTGGTTCATGCTTTCCACAGATCATCATAATTCCCATCATTCTTTGTTGTCTTAAGGGAGGTTGATTCCCTTATTTACATCATATCCCTGGCTCCTGAAGGCATTGACTTGCAATCCCAAACAAGAGTTTTCAAATCTGCTCAGTTTCAACCAGTTTTTAGCAACCAAAAAACTATGTATCAAGGCACTGTTCTCAGGTGTTCTTTCTTGGTATGAAACAGACTTTGTTAGGAATTTATGTATTTTGGGGGTGGGGGTTTAAAATATCCGTTTGTAAACGTCTTTTTTTTTTTTTTGTCCTTTTTGAGACCGGCCGCACCACACTCAGCCAGTGAGCGCTGTGAGCGCACCGGTCATCCCTATATAGGATCCGAACCCGCGGCGGGAGCGCTGCTGCGCTCCCAGCGCCGCACTCTCCCGAGTGCACCACGGGCTCGGCTCTGTAAACGTCTTTTATAAAATAATGTAAGACTAGATGGTGCTTAGTTTTTAATTTTTGTCTTTTTGCTTTTAATTTTAAATGTTCTTGCTTGGCAAAATAAAAATTGACATTCGTATATTGGTTCCCATATAAGAAAATTAGTCTGGGAAATCTAAAATATTGGGAACCACTTGATTTAAAGAATGTGGAAAATATAGTGAGATTAGGGGAGGGGGTGTATCTGTTTGTTATAATGCTTCCAAATCCTATCCTAGAATTATTTTAGAAATTATTCCTCCATAAAGCTCCCCCAGTTAGGACCAACATAGCCATTAAGGACATTATGCACACCTGATCTGGAGTCCCATCCTTGCCTCTTACTAGCTGTAGGAACCTGGGTGTGTTATTTAATTAAACTGAGTCTCAGTTTTTTTTTCAAGTATTGTAAATAATAGGCTTAATTTGTCCATTGTAGAAGCTGCTTATAGATTGAGCTGTATATAGAATGAGTTTACAGATTGTTTTTGCCTTCAGGATAATGTTCTTCATTAATACAACTTTTACTGTAACACTGTCATCTTCTTCTGGTGTCACATGACATTTTCATTTTAAATGAAGCAATATTGTTCAAGCACCTTCATCCCTGTCTGCTATCACCTTCATTAGCTATCATTAATCTCTATTGTTCTCAGAACGCTTCACTAAAGATGTATGATTCACTGATAAAGGCACAAAACTGACTGTGAAAGTGATTGAAACCTGGTTCCTCAACATTTCTCTTTCGGAATTCTAAAAAAGAAAAAGGCCCTTTCATGTTGTGAGTTCACTGTGATTTGGGGTGAGAGAAAGAGAGAAAATAAGTCATTTATAAAATGTTTGGATTACTTTTAGAATTTCTGTTCCTTAGAAGATTTATATGTGAGTCTCAAGCACTTTTAGCACAAGAAACAACATTTGTAGCCCAGGATCATTGTTACAATTTCCCCACAAAGAACAGGAGGGACACTGGAGAATTCGCTTCACCTGTACCCCAAGACCAGTGGGTGGAGAAAGGTAGGAGATGGAGGGGAGAGAAGGGAAGAGGGCTAGCTGAGGTGGAAGTGGGACAGAACCTGTGGCTAGCCCCTCCTTGGCCTCCCGTCCTCCAGCCAAAGGGCCAAAGGCAGGACGTGGCCGCTCCTGTAATGCAACCCTTCACCTGTCATCTGTTGTGGCAAGGACGGGTTGTTTTCCATTCACAGGAAACTCTGTATTCATGGGAGATGTTGTTCTGAAGCAGGAAAAAAAAGTACTGCAGAAAGGTAAGGTGTACGAGGAAGTGTTAAATATGTATGTCTTATCAGGAAAACACATTTCCCACCCCAAATGTTAAGGAATAAAAACACATACCATGAGAAATGTGTAAATAAATATTACTCCATTTATTTCCCCTAGAAGTTTATCATGGGACAATTTAAAAGTACTTAGTAAAAGTGATTATACTTGTATTATTTAGTACTTGGTAAGGACTTGATTTAAGGGGGTTGGCCAGTTAGCTCAGTTGGTTAGAGTGCAGCCTTATAACACCAAGGTTGTGGGTTTGGATCCCCATTTGGCCAACATAAAAAAACAAAAAACAAAAAACAAAAAATCCCTAAAACAAAAACAGTATAGTACTTGGCTTAAAAAGGTGATTATATCCTATTATTTTGTATTAATAATATTGAGTATTATTTCTATGTAGCTCTCTGTGGTGGTAGGAACCATGACTTTGTTTGTTTGTTTGTTTTGTTTTCTCATCCCCAATGCTTCCAACAGCAGGCCCATGGTAGGCGCACCATAAATGGTGAAGATCCCGTGTCAAAGAAGCTAGGCGTTTTAGTGGCTAATTATTGGGCAGAGCAAATTAAAATAAAAAATAAATTTGCACTATAAACAGGCATCTCACTTCTATGTCTCTATACTCTTGAAATTATGGCATATCAAGATAAGGGTATATAGGTGCAATGATATTCTTTGCAGCATTGTTTGTAAATGCAGCATTGGAAAAACCCAATCACCAATGGATAAGTGGTGAAATAATCTAGGGGACCTGTAAACAGTGGGATGCAATTTAGTAATTAAACAGAATAAGGTACTTACCTAGATATATACTGATATTATAGTATGAGGGTGCTTCAAAAAGTTTGTGGAAAAATAGAATTAAAAGATAATATGAAGCTTTCCATGAACTTTTTGAAGTATCCTCATATATTTTAAAATCAAGTTGCAGACTAATATGTACAGCATGATTCCATTCTTGTAAAGAAAAGAAGCATGTGTTTCATGAGGTAGCTATATAAACAAGAGAAACATTCCAGAAGGGTGCCCACCAAATGTAAACCCGAATTAGCAATGAAGGGAGTCAGAAGGACCCTGTACTTCTTTTTTCTTTTCTTTTGTTTTCAGTTTAAAGATCTCAATTGGCTTTGTTTGTGTCTAGAACCAGACAACACTTCATTCCATAAAATAGAATAAATGTTCCCTACTTCCTTCTTTATAGAATTTGTAAAGTAGTAAGATAATGGGTGGCTTTGACTCTGGAGAGAAATTTTCAAGTTGAAAATAAGTTAATTAATTCTTTACTGATAAGAAGATTTCCAACTCACTTCTCAACCTTTAACAGGGAGCATTTACAGGTGAATTAATCTGCAAACAGTGAAAGAAAAACAGAAGTCAGCGATTGCCAACAATACAGACGAAATACTTTATTAGGTTCCAAAATGAGAAAATAGTAGTGTTAACCTATTTTAGTATAAGTCCACTGCCCTCCGCAATGAGCCTGCCTTAGCGTCCACGGCGCCCCAGTCTTGGTACCGCCTATACTCTTGGGGCCTCAGCAGGTACTGCCTTCCCCGGTAGTTGGGCATCTCGTAGAGGACCCAGCAGCCCTCCAGCACGTGGAGGGAGCGGATCTCACTGAGGTGGAAGCGGTCCTGGATGCAGGAGCAGTCTTCACTCAGCTCCTTCATGAGGCCTTTGTGATCCTCTCTCTCGTACAGCCGAATCCTGTGGGAGCCTGTCTGCTTCATCCAAAAAAAAAAAAAAAAAAAAAAAAAATCAGAAAAAGCAAATGAGCCTCTTCCAGAATTCGTCCAACCAAATAACAGATGAACTTGGTAGTTTGGGGCATGGGATTGTCAATGTAGAAACAGAGACTGAGTTTGCTGTGAGGCTGTGCAATGGATCTTTCTACCAGCATTTAACAAATACTTGTGCCTCATTTTCTATTTCTGATCTAGGAGATGGAATTTTCACTTAAGAAGTTTAAAATCTGAGAATTCATCAAGAGCTCAAGTATTTTGATTCCTGATCCCCTGTATTAACTCAAACCTATATCTTGGGGAAAAATAAAATAATTTATTTTGGCTAGTGTTCTTTTAATAAGAGTATTATCTCCCAAATGTATATACATATAAATTTACCACTAAAGTAGGATTTTACAAGTTATGTACTTCAGTGGAAAGTTGGTTTAAATAGTCACTGAGAACAAGAATTCAATTGATTTTCCAAATTAAGGAAAACGACCTTTCCTGAGTTTTACCTTTGAATAGCCTGTCTTGTATTAACAATAGAGTTTTCAATGTTTACTAGTCCACAGCGGAACCTATCTAATTTATTTATTAGAAATTCCGTTACTGTAGGAAAAACAATTTGTTAGAAATACTGCCTTCTTGTACCCAACCAGCTTCCCCAAATTTGCAAGTTTTGTTTTTTAATCCCATTATGATGTTACATTTGTTACAGACAACTTTTGACTGAGCAAATGAATGGTAGCAAAAATTAAAAATAAAACGGACTCCCCCTCTAAGTGGGTTCTTTCCTAAATTCTGTGCTGTTTTTGTGCACGTATCTATCCCGGCTTTGGCAAGTATCTAAAGCCCACTTTACCCTTAGGTGTTTTGAAAGGAAAACCTCCCTCACTTTAACGCACATCCCAGCAATGAGAACACTCAGGCATTATGATCGAAATCAAGCAGAACTCACTTGGGGGATGAGATAGCAGGAGCGGACCACGTCGCTGAGGCCCATCCACTGCTGGTAGTCGGGGTACTCGCCGCGCCGCAGGAAGTACTGGCCGCCCTGGTAGTTGGGGCGCTCGTAGAGCATCCAGCAGCCGCTGTCCACGCGCACCGAGTTGCAGCGGCTGAAGTAGGGCTGCAGGTTGGGGCAGTCGCTGCTGCACTCGTAGCAGCGGCCCTGGAAGCCCCGGTCCTCGTAGAAGGTGATCTGCAAAGGAAGAGTAATTCCAAATTAAATCATTTGCTCCCAATAGACCTTGTATAAAACCTTTTCTCCTTTTCTTTTTATTTAACTTGTGCTGTGCTCACCTTCCCCATGGCTGCTCGACACGGACGATGCGAGTTCAGTGCAACGGAGCTGGCGGCCGCAGCGGGTCTATATAGCAGGACGGCTGCTGCGTTGGCAGGAAACACACAAAAGGGGCCCGCGGGGGTGAGTAAGGGGATTTTATGGATCCCTTTTACACGCTGCATTCAGTGGAAATGTTTGTAGATTTTGCCCTCGTTCTCTGGTATATTCTAACGCTGTCCTGTATGTGGAGCAATGTGTTGCTTTTATTTGGATTCTTAGTGTTTTCTAAATTTATCAGCACATCAGTCTGAACTTTTGACCTGAATTCATGTCTCTACACATATGATTCAATTATACCCTGTGAATTTTCTGGGGGAAAAACTATGCCTCTAGAGAAGTGCCCCAGAATTCCAGAGAGGCTGTTGGTGAGATAGAATGCCACAAGTTCTGACTAATTTCCCTTGATGACAGAGGCCGCTCTATCTTTTTTTTCTTTATACGATTTCCATATCCAGTGCAGGACACAAATCTCTATTCTGATTTTGGCTAGATTTGACTGTGATTGACCCAGTGACTTAAGACATAGCTATCAACTTTCCCTTTGCTGGGGGTACTTCCTGTAACTGAAAATCAGCCCCTGGTAGTCAGCTGGGCCCAATACTGAGAAGTATATGGCTTGGAAGATTGCGTCCCCCTTTCCAAGGGTGGGGGAGGCCAGAAAGCTTCATGGGCACGAATGTGAGCTTTGGATTCAGGCTGTCTGAACTCAGAAGGCCCACTGAGTAGCCGTATGGATACGGAAAATCACAGAACCCCTCAGAGCATGAGTTTTCTCATGGGATATGGTATGATGAATGAGAAAGACAGAAAAAGACAGGAGCAGCCTCTTTTTTTCAGAAGCTGGCTTGAAACTCTCACCTAGAACATGTTATTTTCCTACTGGACATAAAAAACAATCTCACATGATACTAGATTCAGACAAAGTGACTCTGAGACGATAATGAAGTGAGATAAAATAAAGCCACTTCATAATTTCATCTAAGCACAGGCAAAAACAGTCAACGTGCCACCCGCAAAATACCAAACACTCCCTCTCTCTATCAAAATAATTAACTGCTACCTCTTTATCAATTATGGCTTTATTTTCGTTCTTGCCTCCCCTCCCTATGGGAAGATTTATTGAGATAACCAATCATAAAATTAACCCTGCTTTCTGAAAACATCCATTCCAGAGTGAACCACCGCCATTTTAGACCACTCCCCAACTCACCCAACCAAAGTACGAATCTTACAATAAATTCTTTCTAGCACCCTTTTACTGAGACATTCCATGCTTCCCCATGGTGTGTGTTCTTCTCGCCGTAACAAATCATAATTGCAACTTATTTAAAGACAGGTGTGTTCCTAGTGTCTTTAGCTAAAGGACATCAACATGAATAAATGGGACATATGTGTTTGGCATATACTTGGCACATCTGAACACTGAATAAATGTTTGATATTCTTAATAGAGTGACGTAATTCAGGATGTCTTCAGAGCTGGCTAGTGAGCTCACTTGGTTAGAGTTTGGTGCTGATAACATCAAGGTCAAGGGTTCAGATCCCTATACTGGCCAGCTGCAAAAAAAAAAAAAAAAAAAAGGATGACTTTAGCCTGTTAAAGTTGTCAGAATCAAAATGGAGTCACTTGTTTTTTAAAAAAACCAAAACCTTGACATATAGAGCTGGGGAAGGCCATGAAGGGAGGGTTTTCATGCCTGATAACGAAAATGATCACAAAGGACTCTGCAAAACCACAACCTTACACAGAGGCCATAACAAACTTAACAAAAAATACTTCTGGGTCGGCCCGGTGGCGCACTGCTACATTGCGCCGCTTGGGAGTGCGGTGGTGCTCCCGCCGAGGGTTCGGATCCCACATACAGACCGGCCGCTCACTGGCTGAGCGAGGTGCGGGTGCAGCACCGAGGGTTGCGATCCATTGCCAGTCACGAAAAAAGACAAAAAGGAAAAAAAAAAAATACTTCTGTGAGGACATCTGCCCAGCAACCATCTGTCCAACTTCCGACT